AAATTACAAAGTGGTGTCCTGCCAAAACCAAGAGCCATTGCCATAAAATAAAAATAGTGTCGTTGCCACAAAAAATAAAAACTTTGAAACATAAAATCGTTGCCCCAGAATCAAAAACGAAAGTTTGATGATGTCATTCCATCACGTGAAACAAGATGGCGCTGGGGTCGTCACTTCCGGTTCCAGGCCCCTCTGGATACTGCCCACGCCCTTTTTCTGTGACGTCACTTCCGCCTACCGGTTACCTCCGCTTACTACTCACTTATCATCTGGCTCCAGAGCAAATCTTGACTCATCAGTAAACATGACATTGCCCCAGTCAGACACATTCCAATTGACATGTTCCCGGCACCATTGTAATCGTGCCTCTGGATGGATAGAGGAACACAAACTCGAGGTATCCAGGCCACTCATCTTCGGCGTACAGTAGCTGCAGATATCGCCTTACCAATGGACGCTGTAACCATAGATGTCACACGTGTGGAGGGCGCTCTGCGATTCCGCTTGGCCACAATAGCAATATATCGATCTTCCGCGGGGGATGTAACCCTTGGGCGACCGGCTACGAGCCTTCGGACAACTGTCTGTGTGGTTTGGAATTGTTTCCATAAACATGAAATTACAGAATGATGAACGCCGAAGAAAAGAGCAACATCTTGATCGACTGTCCTGCTCAATGCGCCCATCAGCACGCCACGCTCAGAATTTCCATCGTCTCTGGGAAGTCAAGAAACACGCATGTCTGAAAAACATTGTACGAAGATTAAAACCTTCTATCAGCACTTACAATTAACTTCTGTAACCCTTCTTAAAGCTGGCTTCTTATAAGGCTGCCTTTTTTGCATATTTCTTGACATGAAAACGCGATTGGCTGCTACCTAACATATTTGCATACTTCCATCTACCTCTGCAGCGAATTGCATCCTCTTCAATTCTGATTGGCTTCCGGAAATTAGCATTTTTCTCTCCGTGCTTAACTTTTGGAAGTGAGTGTAGTTTCACTGCTTATATGATATTTTAGGCTGCTAAATATTGAGGAAAACAAAATAGTGAGCTTAGCTTTTTCTTTTCCACAATTAGGGTACGTATGATAGCTATCTAGTTTTTTCATTAGGATAATTTTACATTTCAAATGCTATGTAAAACAGTAATATGTCGGAGGGAAATGTTATTTCCCTATTTGTGCACAGTTTAAAAATTCAGTAATTTTTGCAGTTGAATTATCATAGACTCTGTACCACAGATTTTAATTCATGGAACAATATTTTATTTAACAGAAAGGGAAACAAACTAATATGAAATTGGGTGAAAAGGCAAAATTAGATTAGACTTTCGTTCAAAGCCTCTCTCAATCTAAGATTACTTTTTTTCAGAATTTTAAATATCTAGTTTATTTTAGTTACTACTACTGCTTGTGTAATGCAAATAATGCTTTTGGATTGAACATTATCATTTCTTCAATAAAGGCATAGCTGAAGGGGTAAAGAGGACAGCTGTTCCAAGGCGCAGCATCCGCAGGGGTGGGGCACCAAACTGAATTGCATTTTTGCAAACAGGAGGAAGTGCAAAACCTTCAGTTGTCCCCAGACGCTGAAAATCTTAGCTATATCTCTTTTATTTGTATCCCATATTTCAGTTTATTTAATGGTAATATCTAGTTCATTCTATTTTAGAAAACTGAACACTTAATTATTTGGAACAAACAAATAATTGAGATAATTTTGTGAGCGCTGAATCTTGACTGCTGTAATAAAGGTAAATGGGAAGGGGGGGAATCCAAACCCATATTCGAAATAACTTTGAGATCTCAAACCTTCAAAAAAGAGCATTAGTTTTTATTACCAAATTACTAAATGTGATAGTTCCTTAATGATGTGGCAAACAGTTCGACATGTAAAAATTATGTCTTGGTAACTGCACACATTGATACAAAACAAACATTTATATTTTATACAACACTGTAACTAAATTAAAAGCACTATGCATTTAAATAATTACACATGAATAAAAATAAATGAGAAGTATTATAAATATGGTAATTATATTTTGTAATGTGTATGAGAAATCTGGTAGAAACATTAATGAAGTTTTTTTGGTAATTGCTTTCTTTGCATAATTGGAAAATATAGAAAATACAAACAAATCTCGCATAACGTTAAAAAAAAAAACAGAAAGCATTTTAAACAGGTTAATAACAGTATTCCTTTCTTGATTGCTAAATTAATTGATATTTCTACAAATAATTTTTATTTCAGTATATAATCAATATTGCTTTTAAACATTTTTTTTTGTTTATTTATTTGATTATTCCAAAGCAATCAAGGGTTATCTACCTAAGGAAAGGGATGCCTTTGTGGAGGACTTTCTATAGGAAACTGGCTTACATACATGTTACACACGGAAAAAACTACGAAAACGCCCATGTAGGCAGCCCATTCACCAGGATTTGAACCCCAGACTGAACTATCAGTGTTGAGCGACTTTACTGCTCAGGCACTAGAGGGCCTGATGTTTTCTGTGTAGAATATAATTAAATAAAGAAATACATAAATAAAATATACATTTATTTAATCATAATTTGTGCAACAAATATTTTCTTCATTCATGAGTAATAAGTTCATTAAGCTGATGAATGGAACACCACAGTCATTATATACATATGTATATTTAAGTAATAGTATATAATTTTTTAAAGTTTCATAACACAAGATAAAACAATAAATTAACATAGAATTAAAATGGGATATCCTACGTAAAGAAAATAAAAAATTATATACTAGTAAATTTGTATTTTTAAAGTTTCATAACACAAGATAAAACAGTAAATTAACATAGAATTAAAATGGGATATCTTACTTAAAGAAAATAAAAAATTATATACTCCTAAAATTCATACATGCATATTGAAATGATCTACAATTACTAATTAAGTAGGAAGAAATAAATTAAAAAAATTTTTAAAAACCACTATTTACCTGCACTTACATTGTATACAAAGTATTATTCATAAAATAACCAACAATAATAATAAGCAATTAACAAAATTCATATATTATTTTACAAAGATTTACCTTACCCAAAATTAAAGATATATTACAAATTATAAGATTTATTTAAAACGTAATTTAAAATTTATAGTCACATATATTACAAAAATAAAATATATTCATTTCTAAAACAAAGAATGTAAAGAAAAATCCCAAAATGTAACAATTTGAGAATCTCTGCCAGCTAAAACAAGACAAAAAGAAAACCTTCTCTTATGGCTATGAAAACCAGTTATATTTTGTAATGCACTTGGAGATTCCGGTAGAATCACTAATGGAGCTTTTTGGTGACTGCTTTTATTCTTTATTCACTTGAATTTGGAAACATACAATCAGCCCATTTGTACAAAAAGGTCTAACATTTCATTTTCATGCCCAATTTTTAAACATTAAATATACCATAAGAAGAAAATTATCTTGGACAGTTTAGAAAGAGAGTTAGATTCTTAATAACTTGTGTAGACGGATGATGAAGATACTATGCCAAGGATCAGAAGAACTTGAGATGTCACTACAATGGTGCATAAAATATGTAATGCCTTAGCTATCACCTTAAAATTGCTAATTCACGATTTAGCTGTAATATCAGATAAAAAAAATTAAACTAATAAAAATATACAAAAATGTATTAAATTCTTTCCAAGCAAGCTATCTTGGAATAGTTCTGAAGTTTTTTTTTTTTTTTTTTCTTTCTTTCTCATTTTTACAGCCGCTGGTTTTTTAGATGTCACCAAGAACAGTAATAAATCGCCAACGACAGTTCTAATGTAAACTACTTAAATTTGGCAAAATAAAGTGAATGTGCTTAGGAATGCACCATTTGTTTTCCCACCATACAGCAACTATAATTGCTTTATTATAAACAAAAATGTAAGACCATAATCTGTAGGGAATTTAAGTATAGAATATCAGCAAAGAACATCTAAGCATGACAGTGACTTAGGTCTCATGTGGAAAATGACAAGAAGCAAATTGACATAATGGAAAATGTTGGAAGATGAGAGGAAAAAATCATAATAGAAAATCATATAGCTAGAAAAGATTGGGAAATACTATTACTTAAAAGAATGACTTGGAACCTCCTACTTTTCAGCCTTACTTTATAAGCTACATCACTTAACTCTTAGTGCTCTTTTGGCTGCACTACAGGGCCATCCGGCATTTGTTCCACAGCTCCGTTGGCTCTGCTGAGGAACCAAATGTTTTTAGCTCCATTGGTCTGCTACAGGGCCATCTGGCATTTGTTCCACAGCTTTGTAGGCTCCGCTAATGTTTTTAGCATGATTACGCTTAAGATGCTGTGGTATCGTCAGCGTTGGCAATTGTTATCTGTATTTAAAAGGTGCTCAATCTCCGTACTGTTACGATTAAACCATTTTTTGACGGTTAGCAACATGGAGAAAAATAATTATTATGATGAGAATTTAGAGTTGAGTGGCAGTGAAGACGTGTTTGATTTTCAAGTGTTATTAAAAGATATTGTGAAAGACAATGTTGATTATAATTCTGACACTTCAAGTAGTGGTTCCGAAATTATACTACCAAAGAGACGATGGATGAGAATTATTGAAAGTGAAATGGAGATTCTCAGGAAGACTTCGATGTGTCATTTTCCCAAGTAAACTCAGGATGCACATGGGGGATTGTTTCCAAAGATATCACACCATAGTGAATTACAAAATTTACAATTTATCTTTCATTTGCAAAAAGAAAGTGCATATGTATAAAAGAAATAAAATTAAAAACATTCACAAGCACGTGTAATTCTTCTCACTTAAAATAAGACTCCATTTCACTCGTTCTGCTACGAAAATGTGCTGGAGTTGCCGGTATGCAGTGGTACAAAAATTTGCAAAGGCTAAGGATTAAAATTATCTGGCATAGCTTTTCCTGTTTCACAAAAATCATGAACATTGGCACCAATGCCATATGACCTTTTCTCTTATTATTTCAATACAAGTGATCATAACATATTAAAGGAGATAGCATCTAAAAATTGCCAAAACATAAACAGAAAAGTGATTCTAAAGTTTTTAACATCCTTAACAGTAAAGACAAATTTAACAATATGGATTTGTTTAACATATAGTGCTAATATGAAGAATAAGATTTCTTTACCCTTTCTGCTTAGATGTGTTAAGCTGGGAATGAGATACCTACTCCAAACTGTCATTTGCCTTTACATTTTACTGGCAGTATTTATTTACAATACATGGTAGTATACAAGATTAAAAAGGTACAGATGACTGTATTTATTTGATCATATGATGCCTGATAAAAGCACACATGCACAGAGATATACATATAGGCACAATCAAACCCAGATATCAAAATCTTAAATGCTGCACTGGCAGATTTATAAAGCAAGAAGCATATCTCACCTGAACTTTTGGGTTCTTCTCATCTTAAAAACAGAGGGTATGTCTTTCCCAACTGTGATTTGTGTCACATCATTATTCTGCCCGTTTCCTCGCATAACCCCCCCTTTTTTTACTAATTTTATCATCTGAAAATTGAGAGAGGAAAATTAAGAAAATAATTTCATATCTGAAGGGCACGGTTACAGTAAGAACATAAAAACTGAAAAGTAATGATGGATGAACTACAGGAAAATAACACAATTTCTTTAAAAGAAACTTCATTCCAATAAGAAGACACAGCAATATTAATATTACAATATCGAATAAGATATCTACATTTCTACTTTCCTTTAATCACACTCATTTTTACTGTTATCTCTAGTACTTCTTAGGCCTCAAATAATTTACAAATGATTGGAGAAGGTGAATGTGCAGCTGACTTGGTGAAACCACAGACTAGATGTCAGTTTATATTTTCTCTGCCATGATGGGTTGGCTGGCATAAAGTTCAACAGTTAGAAGGAATAAGTTCAGTCTGATCTTTGCAGGTAGTTTGTGAGTTTATCTTTGTTAGTAAGAGGAAAATGACCATTAAGTAGATTATTTCATTTCAAAAGAGAACAATTAAATTGTGTTCAGAGGAGAATCTCATTTTGTCCTCTGAACACAATGAGGAAAGGGGAAATTACACAAAAATTTTTAAGATTTTGAGAACTTGCCACTAAAAAGATATAGGAAAACTACATTAGGAAATATGGTATCTGTTTTGCTCCCAAAGGATTAAAAAATTTAAACAGTTGATAACAAATTAGAATTGATTTTTTTAAAAAATCACATAGCTTGTTCAAAGTTTGACTTTGTAGCTCACATAAAAGTAAAATAAAATAAAACTGATCTCTCACTAAATATATGCGAATGACAGTTTATATGAATTTCTTCAATTTTTTTATTTTTGAAAACAATACATGCAACATGCAATTAAGTATTAAAATGTATCAAATAATATACAGCTAATAAAATTCCTAAAATTACATCACAGCTAAAGCAACAATTGCAAGTATATCACAGATATAATGAAATAAAATATTAATAAATATTTGCTTCAAATACTAAGGCATGCAAACATCACTCAGACTAAGGAATTTTTCACACAATAATTCCTGCATCAGAGTGAGTGACTTTGGATATTACAATCTACAATACCATGGAAGTTCATCCTTGTTCGTAATGTGTGGCAACTGTGGAAATTATGATTATACAACACACATATGAGCTTGTGGCGGAAAAAAGAAAAAGGATTATAATTTCATTTTCTGAAGAGGAAAGAATCTCAAACCTGCAAATTCTAACAAGGCTTCATAGACAATATGGGAAACAATACCTGTCACACATAGGCAGGTAGGAAGTAATGCCATTCTATGTTCATCATAGTTGTTAAAAAGACTATACTCATCCAAACATACATTTTCTTAAAGAAAGTATAAACCACTGGAAATGGAATATCATAGCATAACAGGATTATTTTGAAAATGAATGAGCTTTGCTGGTATGTAATCATCTTACTTTTTCAATCATTTCATTCATCCAGGTCATTTTTGAACAATTTAGCATTTACAATACATCAAATGATTTCTAATGATTATTTTGCAGATTCAATTTTTTAAACTAAGATTGTTTAGTAAGATATAAATCTGCAATAAAGGTAAGAGATTAATCTTCCATACATATTTCACTGCATCTAAAAAAAAAAAAAATAGGCTTGATCAATTTCTTTTAATAACCTTATAAAATAGAAAATAAATTAAAATATTACAAAAAATAAATTATGTATAAAAATGCAAACTTATTTAGCTCTATGTAAACATCCTGAAATTAAACTGATGTCATAAGTCATCAGTACTTCCCTCATGAAATGGCACATAAGTAAGGCAAAGAATGTCATCAGGTGAATTATCTGAACAATCTGTAATAAAAAGCTCAGGAGAATCAGGCAGTACATCTACTTTGGTTCTTTTCTCAGCATGAAGACAATTTTCTTCTTCTGTCTCTCTTTTCCTATGAGGGTTAAATGGATGGCTAAAGCACAATAACTTCTTTGTAGAAGAAGATAATAAACTTGGACTGTCTTCCAGATCACTGGACGAATCAACAATTACTTCTATGTTGTTTGATTTATCAGTTGTTACAGCATGAGGAACTGACAATTTATTACTTGATGCATTAACTCCAACATCATGATTCACAAGATGACTTGATAAACCAAATTTGTTTTCACCACCTAAAGATACTTTTGCAGTCAGATTATCATCACCAGGTGAATCATCTGAAAATAAATCAATCACTTCAATTTCTGAATTTTGATTATGAACATTACTGAAACCTTGAACACTCTTGCTTTTTAAATTAAAAGATGGACTTTCCTCTTCATTTGCTCCATGCTCTTGTTTTAACGAAAGAGATGAAATTTTAGAATTGTGATAGTTATTTTTTATTACATCTTCTTGACCACAATCAGTGTCATGCTTATCAATATTTTTTCTACAGCTGGTATATGAAAATTTTGCACAAGATATATCTTTCACATTTTTTCTAGGGGAGCATAAGCTGAAATTGGAAGCACCATCTTCGATAACATCGCATATATTCTTTATAAAGTTATTACAAGTAACACTGGAATTGAACTTTACTTCTATATTTGATGGTTCATTTGAATTTAGTTCATCTTCATAAGAATTGTGGTTTCTGTGGTCATCATTATCATTCGATGATTTAGTTTTTATATCATATAAATATGGAACTAAATTTTTAGAAGATGCAGAATGAAATGAATTTTCATTATTAACATGTGAACTTTTTGCAGTATATGCAATATCTTTCAGCATATTTTTAGATTTTGTATTGTAAACATTTGAATCTGAGCCATTATTTGTTAATGATAAATTAGTATGGACTTTGCTTTTTTCATTGAATAAACATGGTAATGAACATAAGTTAGTCCTGAGCTCTGTATCACACACACAAGATTCATCTTTTACCATCTCAGTTAGAAAGTGATTAAAAGGATGTTTTCTATCATTAAAATTTCTACTATTAGATTTATTAAAAGATTTAGTATTAAAATTAATTGTACCAGAAGTAGTACATTGAGGATCATCATAAGTTCTTTTTGGAAAAATATGATTAAGTTTCTTATTACTTATATTACTTTTTGCATGTACTAAATCCTGTTTGCAATAATTATCAGGGTTTGATTTTTGTTCTTCTGAAGTACTGTAAAGAGTTTCTGAATCAGATTTTTCTTCAGTGTTACTTTTCTGCGATGAATTATGACTCCTATGCTCATCATCTGATGAAAAGTTATAATCCCAGAATAAAAGATTAGCAGCACCAGACACTGGTAAAACATCTTTGCAACTGTCCTCTTTTCCATCACATTTTTCTGTTTTATTTGGATGTTTAACAGCATTCAACTGAGATTTGTTAAAATCATCATTATCATTTTCATTGATAATGCTTTTTTTACTCCCTTTACTTAAATTGTTATTTTCGATGATATTTTCCTTTTCATTCCCTTTCTTTAATTTACTACTTTCATGAATGATGTTTTCTTTACCATTCACTTTACTTAAACAGACTGGGTCTTTTGACATAATGTAGCATTCATCATAGAAAGGCAAACTGCTTGGAGTTTCTGCTGATAGTTCTAAAAATAATTATAAAAAATAACTGGTTGAAAATGAAACAAAAAATAGTTATAATAAAATTTCAAAACACTTTTTAAATAAAATTCATAACTTTTGGTCAACAGATTCTGTAAATACACAGGATATTTTCTTTCTTTTAACATTTCCTTTCTCTAGTTCATTCCCTTTGAGAAACTTAACAACAGCCAAAGTAAAATAAAATAAAATAAAATAAAAACTGTATGAACATTTCATATTAAAACAAACATTATCAGATCGCTAACGTTTCAACACTATATAAACTCTCAAAATGCATAACTTTCAGAAATTATATATTCATTAGGTATTATTATTACACATTAGCTATATTTCAGATAATTACATACTCCTTATGTAAGTTATTATTACAAAAGAGTTTAACACCCATCCATTAAGAAAAGAAAAGTGTACTGCTAAAACAAATTAGAAGTGATAAACTGAAGAGAAGGCTGGAAATTTTTAATTTAAAACTAAGCAAACTTTAAGGTTTAATTGTACTGGATTTGATTCAACATCTTATTTCATTAGAAGGATACATCTCAGTTACAAGATCTTAGCTACAAGAAAGTTGCATCTTAGTTGAGTTACATCTTATTTTATTAGAAGTCGCTATCAAAATATGAGATTTCCTATAAAACCAATTATGTCCAAGGCTACACTGGCATTCAAAATTAAGAGCATTTTCTAACTTGGTTATTATTTCCTGATGGATTGATTTTATGACATTTGGTATGGACATAGGATAACGTAATAGAAGAAGACAAATCATACAATAGTTGTGGTCTGTTTCTTTTGCTACTTTTTAAGAAAATTGTCAAAATATACAATTTTTTTAAATTTTAAATGCCTGTATAACTTTAAAATACATAAAAAATTCGGCAAAATGAATTTTTTCTCCCCTTTTCTTTTCTCTTCTTTACTTTTTAAGAAAGGACTAAAAACATGTACCCCCTAAAAAAGGTTATTTATAAATTAGTTCTATAAACTTCAACCAGAATTTTATACAAATGTAAAAAGAACAGATCATAAAATATATGATTGTATGTCAAAAGAGGGATACAAGTCATGGGCTATTAATAGTGATACGAAATGTACAGGCGCGGTAAGATAGCTTCCCCGGAAAGCAGGTTTAGGGCTGCCATAAAATGGCAAGGGAAGGCAGGGTCGCCACATTTGGCGAGAAATCGCCCATTTGGTGACAAAATTGGCAATGTGCCACGGGCAGATGGAGAACCTTCTGGAACGAATTCTTAACGGTTTAGCCCAGAATGTTCTCGAACACAAGCCGAAAGCTATATAAACCCTGCTGGTCCGCAGCCAATTAGTGTGTGTGCCTCGAGAGTGCAAGATACTTAGTGTGTCTCATCTAGTTAGTCCAAGCAGAGACGAACGAGTTGACAGCCGGCCAGCGAGTGCTGAGTGGGTCGTCGAACGCATGGAAAGATCTTTGGGTATCGCGGTTAGTGCATCATCGAGAAGGGTGTTAACTCTGGAACACTAACCAGAGTCAGGAGCTTGCTCTGTGTGTCGTCGAGTGCATCGCAAGTTGTAGCGTGGAGAGTCTGGAGAGTATGTGGAGTTACAAGAATGACCGAGCAGGGTAGGAGCTGTACCCTGGCACTTTGCAGTGAAGCTGTCTCCACCGTTATTGTCTGACAGTGTGAAGGCTGTGTCGCTGATTGTTCCAGCGTGTTTATAATAGATCTTCGACGACTGTAAAAGTGTTTTGGAGCTGTCCTGATTAATATTGGTAAATAAAGTGTGTTTCGATACTTCATAAAGTGTTGTCATCATTCACTCCAAATCTACAAACCCCGTACAAACGTGAAGAAAGAAAATAACGTAACAACTGGTAACAGAAGAAAACACAATAACTAGTGTCAGAAAAAAAAAATTAACAATAGGTTTAGTGTAAGCATGCAACATAATTTATAGACTAGACAGAGTAAATATGAATACCCCAATGGATTTATTTTAGGCTTAGGTACCTTTAAAATAATGCCCCCACAAAAACTGCACTCGAGAGTATTTTATTAGTGCAATGGGAGCAAACATGCTTCTGATAGTACAGAAAAAGTGGCTGGCATCATAGTCTGTCAGAAAGTCCATAGACTACTGTTACTTTTTTTTTTTTTTTTTAACTGGCTATATCAATGTAATGTCAAAGGTTGCAGGCATAAAGAAAGTTTAAAATTAGAAAAAATAATCCTTAGATGAGTATCAGTTTTGAGGGCAATCAGATACAAGCCTTCTTTAAGAGCAAGAATTTTTATTGCAAAAATGAGAAAAGTAATACGTATTCTATATTGAAAGGAATAGACAGAATAAATAAAAAATAATACTAGACAAATCAAAGCAATAACTAATCAAAAACAGTCCAACTATCAAGGAAAATGTTAAACATGAAAAATTAAGATATTAGAAAAAGATAGTTGTTCCTCCCATTTTCGACTTCGCCCACCTCCTGAAGAAATAGGGAAAGTGTCTGATCATCCTGAAAACTGATCATTTGACTTGAAATCTATGATCAAACTAAGTTCACTTTATGGCTAATTTAAAATTTACACTGCCATAGTTATAATTGATGTTTCCATTCTTTCATGATTACGGTGTTCTTTACTTTTGCTAAAAGTTTTGTTTTTATGAAATGCATATAATGCCAATAACAGCCTTTCTATAAAGCTGATTTTTTGTGCATAGTTGAAATGAAAATGAAAAAACATTGTGTTTATGAAGCACTGAATTAACATGAAATTTCTTGTCAAACTTGAAAGAATGATATTGAAGTTCATAAAATGATAAAGTAGATGTATGAAGAGTCCATAATACAGAAGTCAGATTTACTTAAATTAAGAATTAAATACTAGTTTTTTAGGTTAAACATTCTAACAATGGCAAGGAGACATGACTGAAGATGTGTCAGCAAAATGGCCTCTGACAATGCATGTGAATAAAATCTTGTGTGGTGCATGATTGATGACTAACTGTTAGAATAGTTCCTGATGAGCTAAATTTAGGGAAAATAACTGTTCATATGATTTGCCGGGAAACTGGAAATGAGAAAACTCTGTGCAAAGATCATCACATGATATTCAAGTCCAAACAAAAGTTTAAAAAGGCAGACAGCTGTGCTGACTGTTCTAACGTCATGACAAGGTGATTATTGATGATGCTATTAACAAGTCCAATTTAGCATTAAAACAACTATATAAAGAGTGGAAAATAAAAAGAAAATCACAAACAAAAGTAAAATCAGGGATTAAGGAAGTTATCTTATAAGTAGATGGATTTTGTTTTCTTGATAATGTAGCATTTTCTGATAATTCCTAGCTCATATAATTCAGTCACTGTGTTCGAATATCCTTCTTAAAATTTTGATCAGGCCTTTATGACTTCTATTTACAGAAATCAAAATGGTGTAGTGAAGACTACATTTTGGAAATGTGGAAAATATTTAGAGTGAAATGAGAAAACAGCTGAAGGATCTATCAAAAACTCACTTATAGAAATGGAAACTACATGGGCAATGGTGCATTAATAAGAAAGGAGACTATTTTGAAGAATATAATGCTGATATACCCAAATAAATTTTATATACTTTGTCCATGAATATTCAGGACAGACTAAGGTATATTTCTCATGATGAAGAGACTCAAAAGCATTAAAACTATTTCAAATCAGAAAACAAATCTAGAAAAAATATTTGATTTGATTATTCATTAATCGCAAAGCACAAAAGGGCTATCTGCCTACAGGGAGGGATGCCTTCGTGGAGGACTTTCTAAGGGGAACTGGCTCGGATACACGTTACACATGGGGAAAATCACGAAAACGCCCATGCAGCCAGCCCATTCACGGGATTTGAACCTTGAACTGCCAGCATCTTTACTGCTCAGCCGCTGGTGGGTCAAAAAAAAAAAAAAAAAAAAAAAAAAAAAAAAAAAAAAAAAAAAAAAAAAAAAGGCATTTGATTTTTCAGATTCTAGCTTAACATTTCAAAGCTGAAACAAACTTGTCTTTCTGGCATGAAACAAAAGATAAAGAAACTGATTTTTTTACTTTTTTTTTAAACTATCCAGCAGCATGTGGCAACATTTTTTTTTTTTTTTTCAGAAACATATGCACAGCAATATTGCCTGTTGGTCCCTGTTAAATTAAATGCACTGTTTTCTCATAACAGTATTTTTGTCTTCAAAGTATTGTCAATAATAATAATAAGAAAAATAAAAAAAGATTGTGTTATTCTGTTCCAATCTTTGCTTTTTGAAATAATTAACTCAAAAGATTATTTTTTATTCTTAAGAAATTTTTACAACAGTGGAAATGAGCTGATGATGGAAGTATGTTTACTGCCTGGAAATAATTAACTGGCATATATATTTGTCTAGAGAAAACAGTTTTTCATGCCCTTTTTCTAATCGAAAAGACAAGATTTTTTGTTAATAATGAGAGATATTTGCTTACAAAAGTACACTATAAATGAATAAGAAAATGGAAAATAAAAATTGATGGCTTGTACGTTAGCAATACTTCCAGTTCATAGGTATCAAAGGCAAGTGAGTTGGCAAACTTAACACATAAGTTGATAACTAACAAACAGCTAAAAATGCAGTTGTTTACAATTATTACAGCATATAAGTTTATTAAACTTCCTATTTTGATTGGATAACTTTTCTTTATGCAGTAAAAACAGTAATACTCTTTATAGTGCTCAGAACAAATGAAAACCAATCAAGTCTGAAAATACAGCAAATGCAGCATTCCTATTTATTGCTAAAATGGATCATATTAAAAAAAAAAAAAAAAAAAACTTAATTTCAAGAAACAAGTAATGGCCTAAAACACTTCAATTAGTTCTTCATATAAAATCATTAACAGCTTCCTTTCATTCCAAAGCTGTATGCAGAATTTGAGAAGTCCAGTTTAAAAGTAATTTTAAGAACACATAATATTTCAACAATTTATAACTTTAATTAAGAGACCTCACAGATGCAAACATTTAGCCCTAATGTTGAAAACATAGTAAAATGTGTATTGCATTCATTAACATTCATGTAAGTGCTTTGTGAAATAGGATTTGTTATACAAATCTAAAAAATAAAAAAAAGTGCTTTTAACATACTTCAAAACATATACAGTGTGATACATATATGTGTTACTGATCTGAAAAAAGTGTTTGAAACTGTACCACTAATTAATTTTTGTTTGCACTGTCAAAAGGAACATCCAAGCATAAGCGAAAAAGCGATACAGTTTTTAATGCCTTTTGCCACCACTTATATGTGTGAAGCCATGTTCTCAGGCTTGGTGTCGCACTAAGGACAAAATATGCGGAAACAAAGTTTACTTCATTTATGAAAGTTTTAAAAGAATATAATTGTTAATTTTTTAATTACTTATATTTTTATGTCCGTAATCCGGACGTTCATTATCTAGAATGATCTATAATCTGGACCTCAAAGCCACAAACTCTTTTTTTTATGCTTCACGCATGTGCGTTTAATGTTTAACGGCTAAAAGCTAGGCTAAAATTATCTTTACTGATTCTAAGGCATTTCAATTAATGTGATTCGCTGTTCTTTAATCTTCTAATTGGATCCGACTTATTATTTCTGGCAGACTGTTAGAGCAATTTTATAAAAATTAAGCTTGAACTTTTGATTATGTCAAAAAGAGTTTCCAATTCTGGAGCTGCCAAAGGAACTACAAAGCGAAAGCTTGTTTCGATGACCATCAAACAAAAAGTGGAATTGCTGCAAAAAATGGATAAAGGCATATCCGTCTCAAAATTATGCGAGGAGTATGACATTGGAAAGTCAACTGTATATGACATAAGCAAAAAGAAATTTTCCAGTTATTGGATTTTGTAAAGAAATGTGGAGAAACGGTAATAAATGAAGATGATAAAACAGAAGTTTTTCATTGCGACGACAATGCCCCAATCATCAATCAATTAACGGATGGCGAAATCTGTAGTATGGTTCTAAATCGAAAAAATACCACTTCTGATATAATTGTTAATAGTGAAGAAAGTGACAGAGAGGTTACTGAAAATGAAAAAATTTCGACTGACAAGTTAGTTGGTATTCTTGACACAGCAATTACAGGACTTGAACAGTGGAACTTCGTAACTGAACAAGAAATTATGTCTGTTTATAGAATTAAAGAGAAAGTATTAACACAAAAAACGAAGCAACTTAAACAACTTACATTGAAAGAAATGTTTAATAAAGTAAACAAATAAATATTAAGCTTTTTTTTGCAAATTTTGATACCCTTTAGATCATAATTGCTCTTTATTTCATAAATTACGGTTTCATATTTTTAATTGTATAATTTCTGCATGCCATCTCACTAGATTTAAATTGATGATCTATAATCCGGAAAAAGCCCTAATCCGGAATCGCCGAAGCCCCGACGAGTCCGGATTACGGACTTTGTACTGTATAATTATTTTGAAATTTTTGTGTATTTATTTCACAATAACAAATAACATGATTTTTATTAAAAAATAAAATTTGATTTTCAAATAAATGTTTTTTTTTTTTTTTTTTTTTTTTTTTTTCATAAGGTGTGTCATGAAAAATTTTAAAACCTCTTAATGGGCTGCGGTCAAAAAAATTTGGGAAATGCCGAAAAATTTTTTTTCTTTTCCTAAAGGTAAGTCTTGACTTTTACTTGTTCTTTATTTTCCCAACCTCTAGCCATAGATATATACTTTTTTTTCACAAAAGTGTTTTAAATGATGCAAATAGTTACTTTGGCATTTAAAATTAAAAAAAATCAATTTTTAGAGATTTAACTATTTAATAATAAAATAAAAATTAGGAAATCTGAATTTTTATACACTGGCCCTGGTCCCTGTATTTATATAAGGAAAATTTTATATTATTGTAAAAAATTAAAAACAATAGGTTTGATTCCTTATGAAAAATTTGATCATGATATTTTATTCCAAAATTTTGAATATTTGATGTCATTCTCAACTTGCCTTGATGAGTCAATAAATATATTAGAATACTTCATGGTTCATTTTCTTCTTTTTAATGATATTCCTTTGAGATTTATTAACATATTCCATTCTTTAATTTATAATTCTGTTACAACTGCTACGCTGAAAGAATTTTTGCACAAGTAATCTTTTAAGTTTTCAAATACTAAAAACATGTTATTTATACCTTCATGAAGTTTATTCTTTATAATCATAATCTGATAATCATACACAAATTCTTTGAACTAGAAATACGCTTCATTCTTAATTTGTGTGACTGCCATAATGTTACCAATAAGCAAATAATGTTAAGATTTGGCTACATGCCAATGTTTTCCAGAACAAAAATCCTGCAAGATTTCTTTCTTTTTTTAAAAAAACCTTATGTAGACTTTTCCTAACAATCTGCTTCAAAAATAAAACACAAAAGGTCTGACTCCTTATTGAAATAAATTGGCCATGACATTTTATTTCAAATTTTGAATATTTGATGTCATTATCAACTTACCTTGATGGGTCACATAATTAATATTCACTTAATTTATTAACATCAGAAGCCTTTTTTTCTAAACTGATGTTTTATTTTTAGTTACATACAAATGGAAACATATTAATCTTCAGTTTGTGTGCAACACCTGAATATGATCTCCAAATTTCAAATGAAACATCTTGGTAAATTTTTGCTGAATGGAAGTCACATTTTTTATTTTCTTTATAACCAGTACAAAATTTAATCGATCCGGATTCAGAAATGCATGAATGTATGGGCATGTGTATGCATGTATGTGTATATATGTGTATATGCATACACACATATACACTCATGCATACATAAACACATACATGCATACACATACATTACTGGATCCAGTCCAGATAACAGAACAGTACACAAAATTTTCATAAATATATGCTTAGATAGAGACTAGGAAAATATGAAAAAGGTCGGATTTTGTAAATTTTACAAAATGACATTTTTTAAAAAAGTTAAAAATGCCAAAACATGAATATTTGCATCACACACATATATATATATATGATTTTCGTAATAGGAAGTATATTTCTACCTTAATGGTTACAAAAGTAAAGGTCGAGCAAGGACTTTTGTGGAAATGGTGCATAGCATTAGAAAGAATGTTTATGTATAAATAAGATTAAAAAGTTGTAAAAATGTTTCATTTAATTTTTTATAAATTCAATCTTAAAAGTTTGCAAGTACAATGTGCATGCACATCCAATTTCATAAATTGAGCAATCAAAATAGCTTACGATTTTCAGAAACAGTTTTCAGAAGTCCCAGAGGAGAGAGTGATGTTACTTCTTCAGACTCTTCAGAATTGCAGGGAATAAATGACAATAAATCTAATATCTGAGAAGAAAAGAAGATCCCACTTAATATGGAAAATAATTAACAGCAATAAGCAGTAGCATAAAAGGAAAAAACATTTACTATACAATATTTATGTTGAAAATTTTCTTGCAAAAAATTACGTTTGAAAGACTTTATAAAATATTATAGTATAAAAGAATTAAAAATTTACCTCTTTTACAGTTTGTTTGACAACCACATTTGGATACACCACACATGGATTTAGATATTTAACCATATCTCTTATTTCTTCAAGTGAAGAATGGGTGGAATAACACACTCGATGCATCTTACAATTCACATCATACCAGTTTACTTTATCAAATTTATTTTTCTCAAAAAACATTGCACTCGGTTTAATATACATGACTTTTACCTAAATAAAGTGTAAAAGACAAATTGTTAGAAGCTGAAAATCAAACTCATGTATATAAGAAAAAAGAAATGACTACTGGTCTTGAATTCATGGTACATAGTACCATCATGAATTAAAGACCAAAGTACATGTTCTGCTGTTTCACTAAAATCCACACAGAAAACTGCAAATTCGAAATTATGCTAAATTCAATTTCATTTTGGTTTTATGAAAAAACTTTAATTTTTTAGATGAAAATATGTCTTTAAAATTTCTAAGACTAAGAGATGGCAAGTATCTGTATTTAGTGATTCAAGCACACTCAGAACGTATATAATAAACTTGCTATACAGCTTAGAAATAAAGTTTACAGAACTCAAAATAGCAAGAATTTCTGCAATAAAACAGATGCAGAATTATAAAGTCGGCTGCTCTTTACTTTTTTTTTTATCACAAACAAAAGTTGTCCCAAAATGGTGATGACTCTTTGAATTGCCAGAAATTATTGCTTAATAGTTAGAATATTTGCTTCTATGCTCTAGGAATAGTTGTTGATATATGACATTGCTAGGGTTGCACTTCCTGAATCCTGCAATAATGTTAAACTGAATGAAAGCCATTACAGTTGAATACCTCAATTAATGAGTAAAAATGTGCAGATCAAAATGAAAGATAATGAAGATCATGGTTAGAACAAGGATTAATATTGCTTTGAAATAATGAGCTGAGCAGAATACTTGGCTTGTGACTTTACTTTAAAATGGAATTCAAGAATAGCTGGCATTTGAATTCCAGAGATTGTTCAAAACAGATGAGATATAAACTCTGAACTGGAGATATTCTGAAAGTTCCAGATATCTGAAAGCTCCAAATATCTTGATGGTGAACCAGATTCAGCTTCAATAGTACAGAAGATCTTCCTAAACCATAGGTCACACAATCATAGTCCAATCTGTAATGAATTAAAGCTCTGTATATGCAGAGCACAGAACAACATTCTGCTTCCCATGAGGTATTAGTCAGGACTTTCAGAATGCTAACAGCTTTTGTACATTTTTGTCTCAAATTCAAGGCATGAGGTAGGAATATGAAACTTCCTGCTAAATATGACTTCAAAGCAGTAACTCCTCAGGCAATGAACCTTAGAACCCATGCATGTACATGACGATCATACCTGTTTCTGAACTTAAAACCACCGAAAGGGGAGGGGATATTTTTTATTACCAGATATTATTTTATTCCTTAATATTTATTTTCAATGTCTTTCATAATTTCTTGTTGATAGCATATCTTCTTGCTTTTCAGTATGCAAAAATATTTTCAATAGCCTTTAAATATTTTTAAAAGAAATTTGTATGGCTACTTTGTGACATTTCAATTAAAGCTGATGTAAAGCTTTTATGAATTATTAAAAAAATTCTCATGAATTCATTTCCAGGTTTAATTAAAAAATTCTCATGAATTCATTTCTAGGTTTAATTAAAATAGTTCAAAACCAAATTCAATCAACCTTCCACTGTACATTTTAAGATGACACACTCAGTTAATAAAATACAATAAAATAATTTGTTGAAAAAAAGATATGCTATATCACATAAAACTATCTGACGTGGAATACATAAAATACAAAATGATTCAAAAATCCTTGACACATTTTGAAAAGTAATTTCAAACAACATAATAAACAACAGAAATATAAAGTTCACAGATATTGTTACAGCAATACAAAATATTTTTTTTAATCATGTCATGTCAAAATTTCAATGTGGAAAGATGTGCTGTAATGTGTTCAAGGTATATTTAACTGTATCCGATTTCAGACTAATTAAATATCATAACTGACTGCAAAATGGGTTCATTTGTCACCTCTGATACCTATACCTATCTATCTATTTATCTGCCTGTCTGCCCCCTCCCCTCAAAAAAAATCCAAAGTATACTGCAGCATAGTTCACCATAAGATTAGGGAATCCTGCTAGATTCATGTGAAATTTCTTGCTTTGAAATATTTTAATGACCATATATCTTGTTACCAAATGATGAAGGATGCCAAATTTTTTATCACAGCTAAGCAACTTGACAGCAGACTTTTTTTTGGGGAGGAAGAGGAAGGTCAATAATGGTGAAGAAAATTGCTGCAGTAAATCTCTGTACATTTTATTTCTCTATTATTTATACATTTTCAAAATTAATTTCTTAAAGGGGTTTTAAACTTTTGGACTATCTAAAATTAGATAATGTGTTACAGATGACAATAATGAAATAGAAATTTCTATCTCTAAAATTAATTATAATAGTTAAACTTACAAGAGTAAATGATGCCATTTTCTTACATAATATGTTAAGAAACTTTACTTACAGGTTTCAGATCATCTGTACAATAGCCACATGGTGACGTGAAATAGTAGACAGGTTTTCTATCCTTCCAGGTCTTTTCATAAATACAAGCATGGATTTGAGCTTCGTTTGAAATACTTGTGACTGCATTTTCTATTTCTTTGATACCAGCATATTTCCGTTCTCTCTCTTCTGTTACATGAGTCTATAAATAAGATTTCAATAACTAAAAATACTTTTATTAAAATATACTATGAAGATAAAATGCAAAATCAAAGAAAAAAAAATCAATGATTATTGCTTTCCATCATTAAAGATTTAAAATTATGAATGACTAATAAGGAAATATTTATTTCCACCCATTCTATGAAATCTAGCAGAAATATATATTTGGTATTTCTCTGTCATAGCTACCTTGGCAAGAAGTGGGAATTGGTGTAATCTATCTACCTTGGTATAAGGAAAAAAGGGGAGGTTATAGAGATATGTACATGCATATGTAGCTTATATTTCTTCAGCTAATGAATAATGTCCAGGCGCAAATAAAACTACAGAGCAATATAGGACTAAAACAGCACAAGAATTGATATTTGCTTTGTTATTGGTTATACCTTTTTTTTTTTTTTGGTCATATGAGCTTCTGGAAATCACCATCCACTTTGGCCAATACCTTCACCTTTTGGAAATTTATTCTCCCTCTGACCCTCTTTCTTACTTACAGACACACACAAAATGATAATAATACTGATAGAGCCAGACACAGACACACACAAAATAATAATAATACTGACAGAGCCTATACTTTAAAATTTCTACACTGCTCTAAAGAGTAAATGAAAATGGCACCATCTAACAGTTTTAGCAAAAACTGATAGTGGGAACATATCAATGTTAACATAAACATAACATGGGTGATGTGATTTCAAAAGTAAAACTGCGTAGGAATGTTAATAATGATTTTTTTATGAAAAAATTTTAAAATCTTTGGTTAGCATATATGACTTCCACTGATTGCAAGAGTGCAGTAATTGTGTGCTGAATCTAAGACGGGTGCCATGAGCGCAATGTTCTAATATACATAATATAAATATTCTAACATCATTTAAAAATCTTATGTAGACAAAGACCTTCCTGTTGTTTTGAAAGTCAAGTGTCCATAATGTCATCAAGACAGAACAAAAGTGTAGATTTGTAGGAATTACACACAAACAAATAGGCACTCTTCTTTATATATACTATATATATAGATGTTTAATCCTTTCAGTCTTCCATCACATCGGGTGTGATAGTGTGTTTGACACATTATTAGCAAAATAAATTGTTGACAAAAATGTATAAATTAAATAATAAATAAAATCTATATTAAATTCCTTTTGTGTATATATAACTAAATTATGTACTGTAGAGATTGAATTAACTGGTTGAGGGTATCAGTAGCTGTCTCCTTTCATTTCGTTTTTATATTTTCTTAATTGTAGATATAATATTAGTTTATTGTTTTCTGATTTTTAATTAACTTGCAATGGATCAGAGAGGGCTGACCATTTCTGAAGCACTGAAAATGCTAAATGAATTGCCTTCAGATGTGAATCTGATATGGAGAGCAAGAGATACTTTTCTTGAGGGGGCATGTAGAGTAGCAGGCCTCCCCGGGGTGCACCCTGGGTAATGATGTATCTGACCAACAAAATTAAAATGTTAAATGCTATCTTTACAAAATTTTACCTGTATACCAAGTCTACCTTTTTTTTTTTCCTTTTTGGTTGTATTTTTCTGTTAAAATTTCAAATTCAAAGATAGTGTACGGAAAGGGTTAAAGCAGAAAGGCACTCATTTCCATCTCTCACTGAGGCTGCTGTAATAGCGAAGAACAAAAAATTTCTTTTGTAAAATACTCTTAATTTCATTTAGTTTGGTTTATTTGATTATGGCAAAGCACTTGAAAGCTATCTGCCTAAGGGAACAGACACTTATGTAGAGGAGTATCTCAAGAAAACTAGCTTGTATACGCATTATGCAGAGGAAACCGTGAAAACGCTCATGCAGCCGGCTTGTTCAGCGGAATTCAAACAATATACTATTAGAGATCTCCATGAATATTTTCATAAAAAATCATACTGTATTTTTATAATTGTTCATAAGTTCAAAGTCATTAAGTTAAGAACTGCATGATAGAAGTGCTTTAGATAACAAAATGCTTTTGATGCTATACTAAAAACAATAACTAAAATAAAGTAGGCAAAAACTGTAAGAGAGAATTAAACATGTTTGCTATTTAAGTTCTTGACTCTTTCTTAATGCTATATTAAAGAAATTACAGAATTATGGTGTATTTGGTGTATTTAATTATGGCAAAGCACACTAGGGCTATCTGCCTCAGGGGAGGGATGCCTTCGTGGAGGACTTTCTAAGGAAAACTGGCTCGCATACACGTTACACATGGGGAAAACCACGGAAACGCCCATGCAGCCAGCACGTTCGCGGGATTCGAACCTCGGATTGGAATTACCAGTGTTCAGCGACTTTACCGCACGGCCGCTGGTGGGCTACAGAAGTTTGGCAGCCTCAAGCTGCATTCAAGTAAACATATTTCCTACATAAGTCCTTAAAATTTCCTTAATTAAAACTTGGTGATAATCTTGATGGCCTTTAAATAATAGAGGTTGCAATTATAAAGAGGTATCCCCCCAAAAAAAACTGCTTTATAATTTAAATGAGCATATACTTGAGCTAGAATGTGAAAATTTGGTTACTTAGATTCCACTATATAATGATATAAATAAAACAGAAATTCCTTTTTTTGTAAAATATAATTAAGTTTGATAGAAAATTACATTTCTAGACTCAAATTAAAAATGTTAAATGAAGATATTTATCTGAAAGTAATTAGCTGAATTTTAATAATTCTCGCACTGTGATCTAAACACAGTCATAGCAGCATACAGTTTAGTACAGTAGAATCCTTATTAACTAAGGTCTCTCTTAACTGAGTTGGTTGTCATTTTCAAGAAATCATTCAGAAAATGTAGTAATATTAAAAAGGGTACAACAAAAATTAGTGCAATTTACATATTTTCTCATCAGTGTTTTCACATTTCTTATAACTGAAAGGCCTTCCTATTCTATTTAATGATAAAAGATATGCAGAGATGATTGTTGTCACAGCGAGTTTCAATAACTTGACTACCTAACAATTACTAACTCAATACCTGACCAATTTTGACTAAAAGTTAAATACCTCAATTAAATAAAAATAAATAAAAAGACCACAATTAAATAACTTGTTCAACATAACATCTTTAACTCTGAAGGAGATTTTTTTATCATTAGCTGATCTAACAACATATACAATAAAAAAAAAAAAAATCTAAACTTCAGCTTTTAGAATCAAAACATTTTCTGTGTCGAAAATCCGAGAAAGTTAACATAAAAATTAAATTATTGATGCAGAAAGATAAAAATATCATGTGGTTTATGTAACACTCCCACCTTTTGATTACACAGCTTATAATCTAAACAAATATATAGTTACACTTACATCAAATTCAAGTTAGCAAAAATCATAAATTCACAACTTAAAAGGTTATTAGATAATTTTCAAATACATAAATATAAGTTTTAAGATAACTGCTATCCAAAATACAGTACTTTGAACTAGTCTCAAGTATCTCTAAATTTTGCTGAGAGCTAACAGTTCTGCCACTTCTAGCTGTTTTATTCTGATGGCAGATTCTTCTTAAATCACCTTGAGTATGCTCTGCACTTAAAGTTTCACTAGAACTCATATCTGTAGAATACAGAGGCTGTTCGCAGATTTTTAGATGATTTTCATTATATTTATAGAAATATTTTCCCTAAAATTTTTGTGTTTTAAAGTTCCATTTGATAGCCCTTAATCTTCATTATTTTTCTATACCATAATTTGGAAGACAATAATGCATTTTTTAGTATCAAAAGAGGTATTTTATTTCATTTCTCTTGACCAGCTTTTTAGAATGCAAGTAGCCTTCCTACAACATGGTTTTGCTTTCACACGATTCATAAATTGTGAGAACTCTCCTACAGCCCGGTTTCGCTCTAACACAATTAAGAAAATTTCCCAAGCAATCAGAAGAAATTTAACGAACTTCGCATGAAGTTTTTCCACATTGTGCAAAGCACCCATATAATCCTTGTTTCATAAGTTCTGCCAGTTGTCTTCCAAGATCCATATGAACAATGAAGAAACCTCACTATGCAGAAGATAACAATGAAGAAATCTCACTATGCAGAAGGTGAACAACATGAGGTCGCAATAAGTGCTCTAAAACGCACAATCTGCACTTTCGGCTTCCAAAATTTGAGTCCTCGTCTCCATGGCCTGAAAACAAAAATGTCTCACGCTGCTGGACGGCAGTCTATGTTGAGCCACGGTGTGTTAAAGAATAACTTTTTCATCTTTAAGACATTAAGTTTCAGTCCCCAGACACATCGGATAAAAATAAAAAAACAACTTTTAAGAGGAAATTCATTTCTTTAGAAGTACAGATACAAATCTTGGACTGTCTTTTAAAAGGAGAAAAGGCATCTCACATTGGAAAAAGTTTTAATTGAAATAAAGAAACAGTCCAGACTATTAAGAAAAATTAAAAAGAAATAAGAAGTGCGACTGCTGCAGAATCTTCAACATCCGCAAAACGTGCAGTTCGCCCCCCCCCCCGGAGGTGCCAACAATTGAGAAGATGGAAAACACACTCAGCATTTGGATTGATGATAGCTGTCAAAAAAGAATTTCATTGGATGGTGATATCATTAAACAAAAAGCACTCAAATTTTCATGAACATGGAGAACCATCTGTCAACACAGATTTTCTGGTAAGTAAAGGTTGGCTCGAAAATTTCAAAAAGCTTTTTGCAATTCATAGTAAAGAGTTCAAGAGATTCTAGGCTGATTATGAAGCTGCTAGCATGTTTCCTGGAAAATTTTGAAATATTATAGAAGAACAAGGATACACAGCAGTTCAAGTTTTCAATGCCCAAAAAACTGGGCTTTGATGGGATAAAAAATGCCCAGCAGAAAATTTATATCAAAAAAAGAAAAAAAAACTGCATATTGATTTAAGGTGTTTAAAAGTTATCTAACGCTATTTTGTGCAGTATGACTTTGGGCTTTATGACAAAACTTTGTTTTTTTATAGATCTTTAAATCCTCATGCACTTAAAGGC